GGTAAGAAGTTTCAGTATGCTACTGCACAGTAGGGTGACTATAGATAGTAATTGTATAAGGTATATCTCAAAAGGCTAGTATAAAGGATTTTGAATACTTTCTCAATAAAGAAATGATAAATGTTGAAGAGATAGATAAGTTTAACCTGATTTTACAATATATACATGTTTTTAAACATCACATTACCCCATTAATGTGTTCAATTTTGTGCTTTACATGAATCAGTTAAAATAAATTTAATTTAAAAAAAAGAAGATTCTTCATTCACTCTTCATTCACAATAACCAGAGAGTTCTGAGGATGGATGGGGTGATGATTGCACTATGTGAATATGTATACTTTATGTTACTGGTCTCTACACTTAAAAACAGTTAAAATGTAATATATATATATATATATATATATATATATATATATATATACATGTATATATGTATATGTATATAATTTATTAAATTTTTATATATATAAAATTTATTTATTTACCTACAGCACAGTTATTCCACTGAATCATATAAATGACATAACTATGAGAGCATAACATTAAAATATACAAATGGAAATAAATTTACATTGTTGATCCATTAGCCTCAGCCTCCCAAACCACTGGGATTACAGGCATATGCCACCATACGCAGCTCATTTCTGTATTTTTAAAAGGGGAAATGTTAAAAAGAATGTAGAAGAAATATACTCTCACCAGAGGATGAACAGAAATTAAGAGTAATAAAAATGAACTCCAAATTCTGTCTAAAAATGAGTCCTCGTAATGTCCTAATAGAAGTACCTAGTCACCAGTGGCAATAAAATATTTCATAAATTGAAAGATATTTTTTTTGCAAGACCTAGTTCAGTTCAGTGAAAACAAAAACTAGCCATTTATGTCAGTGAGATATGGTGTTTTCAAGATTTCTTTTTTCTTCTTTTTATGTTTGGTTCACACCTAGAGAAGTTTATGAGTTTTTTTCCAAGCTTTGCAGCTATACACACTCAATATTTCCCTGAAAATATGTGTTCACCTTGAAGGTAAAAAGCATATAAATTTAAAATACTTTTCTTCTTTTCATGTTTTAGAAAGAGGACTTGAAATTTTTCATCTGTGATGGTCACTATCCCCATGGTATGATTGTCTCAAACTTTAAATGAATGTTTTTTTCTTACATAACAAAATTTTCCATGAATTTGTACACAGCGTTATACATTTTAACTACAGTATAGTTTTTTAAGATGTATGAGTTCTTTATAAAATATATAAATTTTGTTGCCTCAAAGTGGAGACATTTGTCAAAAGAAATCAGCAGTTTTTTCCCTCCCTTTTGGAATAAGTGGGGCATTTCCTTTTTTTGCAGGAAACATTTCCAGAACACTTAAAAGTTTTTGTTTTTCATTTTGTGGTAATGGGAATTGAGTCTAGGGTGCTCTACCACTGAGCTCCATCCCCAGCTCTCTTTATTTCATTTTTTAAAATTTTAGACAGGAACTCACTAGTTTTCTGAGGCTGGTCTCAAGTTTGCGATCCTCCTGCGTTTTAGCCTTTTTAGCAGCTGGGATAAAAGGTGTGTGCTACCATGCCTTGCTAAACACTKGAGAATTGAAAAGAATAGAGATACAATATTTTACTCCGCTCTCTGTCTTTGTTTCTATTTTTCTCTATCTTTCTTTCTCTATCTCTCTGTGTCTCTTTCTCCATTTCTCTCTCTCTTTATTATTTATACTTTTCATTTAGAATTTTAAACCACTGACTTTGTTATAGTGTTTATATTCACAGACAAGTATTCAATTTCTTAAAAACATAGTGAGGTATATTAAGAACAATAACTACATTCTTATCTATCTTAATCTTATTATTTTTTTCCTAAAAATRATGCCCTAGGTGTCTATTGAGAGCAAAATCTTCCAGAAATGTATACTGRGCCAAATTCAGAAACTGCTTTCTTTATTCAATTTAACAAGTTATTGCTCCATTGTGCTGAATGGCTCCCTGGTGTACCAGAAGATCAGGAGAAGTCCCAAAAGCACATAACTTAGTCTCAATTGGCAATCAGACTGGGAGAGTTACATTTGTGCMTACCCCATGTCCATCCTGAAAATAATGTTCTATGCTAGATAGATATGATTAATTAGAATTTATTATCTGCTGATAATCCAACTTGTCTTCTAAATGATTTGACACTGTGTAATAATATACTTAAATATTATAAAATATGCAAATGATTCTATCTTATGTATTATAAAATACATAAATGGCATAGAAATCTTGTATCCAAATAATGTATTTCTGGCTGGGGATATAGCTCAGTTGGTGGAGTGTTTGCCTTGCATGCACAAGGCCCTGGGTTCAATTCCCAGCACCATACACACACACACACACACACACACACACACACAAACAAATGTATTCTGATGTCATTGAAGAAAGTGTGGCAAAGAAAAGCTAATTATAAGAGAAATATGGTGAAGGCATGAGTTAGATAAATTCACAGAATATAGGCTAAGATCTAAATAAACGTTCACTGCTGTTTAGAGTACATTCTTTGGAATATGTTTATATTGCTGCATAATGGAATGTGAGGACTGGTAGGTTCTCATATAAATGTTGAGGCTCTTAGCCTTCATTCTAAAAATAACAAGACAACGTGCATAAAATTAGCCAAAGGGTGATAAATATAAGTAGAATGAAGGTGAAAAGATATTACAGAAAAGAAAGGTTGAAAGAACAAAATTATTATAGAGAAACTGGAAGATTCTACTTGGTATAGCAGCAGAAAGGCCCTGAGAATTAGTTATTGATTGGGGGAAGGTAGAGTGAAACATGAAGGGTATATCACAAGTTTCTGGTCTTACACATAGACATACACACAAAGGAGAAAGAGAGAGAGAGAGAGAGAGAGAGAGAGAGAGAGAGAGAGAGAATGAATGAGAATTCAACTAGTTGATTAAAAAATAGGTAGATATAAATAAAAATCTTTAAGTGAGTGTCTCTTTTAGTGAGAACTTTAAATAAGAAGTGGTTGCTTGGTTTTCCTTTTTGTCCTTCTTTAGACTCCCTGGCAGTTGTGACCCTTGTGCTTAGACACAGAGTCTTGATGCAATTTGCAATGTCTTCTCTCTGTAGCACAACACCCACTGCCTTATCTTAGATAATCTTGCTTGCTTTTAAGGTCTTGGCAAACACATATTCAGGGAGGACCTCTCCACCTTTAGAAGATGTCCTTGCCCTGGAAATCACTAACCTGCAACATGGTTTCTTTATCCAAGGTCATTTTTCATTCATCAGAGATGGAGCCACTGAGTGTTAGTGTGTCCTGGGCAAAGTTCTAGAAAGCCCTTTCAGGAAAGCATTTCATGAAACAGAAAGTTCTTGTCCTGAATATGCTTATACTCTACAGGGAAGAGACAAAAGTCATTACAAAGAACTGTACTGTATATTATGTTAAATAGTATTTAATATTAATTACAACAATAACCCAGAGGAGGGAAATAGGAGTTTTGTTTCTTTTTAAAAAAATTAAATAAGGTAGTCAGGGAATATTTCACCAAGAAGGTGAGATGTAAATAAGACAAAAAGGACACAAGTCAACAGCCATATTATCTCATCTGAGAGAAAGATACTCCAGAATGGTGGCAAGGCAGAAATGGTGCCCAAAGCCCTCAAGATCGTTCCAGATTCTTCCCACTGCTCAATTCCAAAATCACCTCTCAACTCCCCCCAACCTCACACATGATTGCGGATAGTTGAAGAACCATGTTTACTACTGGATACCAAAAATTGTATTTCGTCTGTTGCTATTGGACAAATTGTCACAAAATATAGTGTAATAAAACAATTAGTATTCATTAACTTTGGTGGAATCTATGGGTTAATGATACTAAGCTTCTTCGCTGGACAGTTCTCTGATAACTTCTCACCAAGTTCTAGCTAGGGATGCTGTCCCACCAAGGTTTGACTGAGACTGGAAAATCTGACTGCAAGATGGCCAACAATATAAGGCTTGGGCCTAGATTTTTGTTGTTGTTTTTGTTTATCTCTATCAGTTACTAAGTATTGAATACCCACTGAGCAAGCCCTCACCACTAAGTTCCATCTCCAGATTTTAAATTTTATTTTTTTTTTATTTTGAGACAGGTCTTCCTAAGTTGCCCGTGGGACCTGTTATTTTTGTTTTGTTTTAAAATATGGAATGCTGCCTGAATTTGCATGTCATCTTTGCACAGGGCCGTGCTAATCTTCTCTGTATCATTCTGATTTTAGTATATGTGCTGCCAAGGTGAGCACAAAAGACCTATTATTAATGGATGATCTCAGTTTCTCTCCACATGAACCTGTCTGCAGGAAGTCGAGGGCTTCCATGACATGGAATGGGCTTCCTTTAAAATAAGCAAGCCCAAACAGACAGACAGGGGCTCGGCTGGGGGGTGGGGAGGAGGAGGAGAAGGAAGCAGCTATTCTMTTTGGACCTAATTTTAGAAATTATACGCCATCATTCATGACACTTTTTCTTTTTCATGACACATTATTCTATTTGTTAAAAGCAAGTTACTAAATCCGGGCCACATTTAACCGGAGGACAAAGAGACTCTACTCTTTAAAATGAGAACTGTCAAGATCACCAGCTACATTTTTAAATGACTATGAGAGAGTATAGCAAGATTCCTAGGAAAAAGTAAATTTAAACAAAGTTCCCTGACTGGCAAATTAAAAGTAATAACAGTGAGGCTGGGAAGGTTGAATCATATTATTTGTCAGAAAGTATGATACCCCCATCAGAAAATGAACTCCAATTCCATTTGGCAAATGTAGCAGTGGGCAGAAATCAAATTAACAGATTTGTGGATGCTCTGCTACTGGGAGAGCATATATTAGTGAAAAGCAAAGGGGTTTAGTGCATTTTAATATGGGTTTTGTATTCATTCAAAGGTCTTATTTTCTTCATAGCTAAAGTTTCATACCTATTCTATAAAACCCACACCAAAGATTGTATACCTTCAACACTGAAAAGCACATTAGTAGTACAATTTCAAAGAGCTTGCAAGTAACATTGGCTGCAATGGAAATTGTCTTCTCATAAGCATCAGCATATCCACATATGATACTATGATTTATGGTGAAAATGTATAAAACTAAAGCATAAGTATATCAGAAAAGAAGCTTTTAAGTGACAAGTGATTCGATTTTTCTCTGAAGAGCAAAGCACATCTCAATGACTGGAAAAAAGAATGTTAGTAAAGTTTTGAGGGAGCCACTCTGTTGCAGTCACCAATAATCCTTCATACTATTAGCACACTTCTTTGTAATGATGTTTTGTCTCTTTCTTGTAGAGTATAATCATATTTAGGGCAGGAACTTTTTCTGTTTTASGAAATGCTTTCCTGAAAGGGCTTTCTAGCACTGTGCCTGGGAAACACTAGAATATGATATTGAGCTCAACATCATATGTTAAAATATAGACCCAGAGCCTTTTAAATAAAGAACTTGAAATATTTCTAGTTGTATATAAATCTGCTTTTGCAAGATTGACTACTAAATACTTATCTTTAATATATCACTTGCACATCCCATCTTCTTTGTTTATATTAATCATATTAATATTCCCTTCCCTAAAGGTTTGTTGTTTAAGGGAACCGATGTCTCACAGAAGTCATATACAAATAACATATAAGTAATGACATCCTAACATCTTTCTCTGGTCAGTTTCCAAAATAAGACGATTTTATCTAATTTTCTCAGTCATTGAGTTTTGTCTCACATTTCTTTTTTATTGTGACTTAGTTAAAAATTGCAACACTTCTTTTTAATGTTCATAATAAAGAAAGATCCTTTTATAGTTAAAATAACAAAAGTTTATATCCTGTTGGTACATCATTTTATGCATTCAACTCAAAGAACTGTACATTCAAAATAGACAAAGAACTGTACATTCAAAAAGGTATTCAAAATACCTTAAGTAAATTTTACATGAATTTTAAAAAGTACAAAAACAAAAGAGAAACAAACTCCAGAATTGCATCTGTTGAGCAAAAAGGCCATTGTCATATTCTAAATATGTTTTATCATGTAGATGTGTTAGATGTGTGTGTGTGTGTATGTGTATATATGTGTGTGTGTGTGTGTGTGTGTGTTTTGGTGTGTGTGTGTATGTGTGTGTGTGCGGTGCTGGGAATTGAACCCAGGGCCTTGCACATACAAAGCAAGTACTCTACCAATTGAGCTATATCCCCAGCCCAAAACTAGATATATTAATAAAAATGTAGCCTCTGAGCACACAGCCAGGCACATRGCAAATGATGGATTCRAKKCAGACATTATTATTTGTGCTGTGAMATTCACTAGAACACATATTTCTAGACAATTAAATGTTATATAAAATAGAGGGTCTCATATTTGATTTTTTATCCATGTATTTTCCCCTATGATGGCTTACATTTTCATTTAAACTCTTACTACAGAATTTAATATTCACAGAATGAAGATTTCTCAGCAATCTGATGTTTGGCACATAGTTTTCTTAACTGTTGTGGACATCAACCATTTATCTCAATTGTGAAATGTTTAAATTTAAATACATTTTAAATTAGATTTTGAGGCCTCAAGCCAGCATTAGTTGCTAATCATTTCATTCATTTGTTTAGATAGAATCAATTCTTGAAAAGTGCAATTGAGGTCTGAGAAGCAGATAGATCTTTATCTACTGAAGTGAACCATGTTYCTTCTCCTGCTCATGTGCTTAAGAGTGAAAAATTCCTAGTAAGAAGTTTGCCTTTGAAGAGGGAAATGAAGGACGCAAGACGCAGAACATCTTAGATAAAAGGTTCAGAGCTTTTGACACTTTATTTGAATATGGAAATTAGACCTTTACCTTTATACCAACCTTTGAATATTCTCATATAACACACTTCATTATGAGAATGAAGAAATTCAGAGTCAAGAGCKTTGGGGCTCATTCTTGGCTGTGTATTAGAATCATCTGGGAAACTTTACACACTTGTGATTTTTTTATGTCCTCTTTCCAGAGATTCTGATTTAATTCACATGAGTTGTGGCTTGAACACTGGGATTATTACAATATCCTTGGGTAATTTTTTTAAATTTAATTTGATTTTTTTTTTTTTTTGGCAAACTTGGGAATTGAACCCAGGGCCTCACACAGGCTAAGCAAATGCTCTCCCATTGAGTTATAGTTAACCATTTTTTTTTTCAAGTTTTACTTTGAGATAGGGTCTTACTAAATTGCCCTGGATGGCCTTGAATTTATGATCCCCTTGCCACAGCCTCCTGAGTAGCTGGGATTACAGRCATGTGTCACTACGCCTGGCTTTGGGTGATTCTTAAATGTGGGAAAATTTGAAAAACACTGACCTAAAAAAAAAGGGAATAAAATGGAATTGAAGTAAATATTGCAAACTTTCCTTCCCAATACCTGATTTTGGATAAGAAAAGAATTTGTAAAATACCAGGATTCCCAAATCAATAGGTAACTGTAGTTTACACGTTTTGTTCCTTGAGTTTGTTTCTAAACATATAAATAAGMAAAATTATTATAAATATTTAAAAAGATGTTTCTTTTCACAATGAGCTTATTTCCAAAATAGACTATTAGTCTCCACTGTGATTAAGATTGGGCAATTTAAAGAACCATATTTCTCTGTCATAAAATGTGGACACCAGAGAGGAAGTTGTATTTAGATGTTTAACTTCATCTCTACCATCAAAGAACACAGTTCATGCAACTTTCAACTGTAAAAATTCTAATGTTCTTGACAACACACTAAATAATATAGTATAAAAGGATCTACTTATATTTAATTCTCCAATATGGGAAAAATTCTATTTTACAAATTATATTTGTGGTTAAAAAATTTGATTGTGTGGGAAATCATTGCAGTTTTTGTCCTCTATAYTCCTGATTCCTCTATTAAAGTCTATTAAAAAGAAAGAAAGTGATGTATAGTGTGCCCTCAAAGCTTTCAGAGTGAATAATATCCAGCTTTTCTGGTGCTAACATTGCCWAGTGATAATGGTAATGATGAATCCCTGTGCAGGCTCCCTTAGATATTAGGAAAATGATTTCTCTTAACCCATATTAGGTACTTAAGTTTTACAGCAGGTGCCTGTCTTTGAAAAATACACCTAAAATATTACTTCACTTAAATAACTATAGTTGTTTTGCAAAAAAGCATACCATGTCTGGGAATTACAAATCTAAACTGAAATACATAAATGTGTGCCTTGTGGGTCCAGTCTTTGGGAAAGGCAGGGAAATACTAACATGACTTACACTAGAGCTATATCTCAACTTTATGTGCACCTGATTTTGTAGCCATAGTAAATTTTTGAAAAATTTGTATCCAAATTACCAATAAAAAATAATCCCATACTCTGAGCTTCTCAATGATAGTCTTTGGGAAATTCAGACTGAAGTTGCAGTAATAAAAAAAAAAAGTTATTTGAAGAACAATGCCAACRTAAAATAAAGATTGTAATGTGTTCGCTATATCTAATAACTAGTAGCTCAATTTTGTTAATGTACCCAGTGAGGTATAAGCCACWTGGAGATCCTGTGTGGTGGCTGCTTTTATAATCTATTTACATGCTTTCCTTCCCTTCCCACCGAGGTGTGCCTTGTAAAGATTCTTAATGCCTTCASAATCAAAATACTATTATAAAGATCTAATTCTGCTTTTTCCTTCTCTTTTCCCATTCATTTTGTATGCTACTACCAGATTTCAAATCATATTAAACTATTCATTTAATTTATTCTTCTAAAAATACTTCCATTGACTATTTACCAAGTTTCAAACACTAGATGAAACACACAGAATAATGGTGGAGAAAAGGGAGTTTAGATGGCCACTATCTGTATGTGCTCCCAAGTCCTTTACTCTGTGTGCCTATAGAAAGTGATCTCTGGTCTCCCTTCCTCTTCTTATTAGGAAGTTAATTCTACCACATCAGGGACCTACCATGATGATGTCATTAAGTAATCTTCCTTGCAAGTGTTATCTCCAAATATAGTCATGTTGGGAGTCAGGACTTCAACATATGACTTTCTGAAGGACAAAACCTCAGTTCATAACCCAGCTTGGTTAAGCGGTGAGTTCAGTCATCTCTCAGTATCTGTTGAGGATTGTTCCAGGGCCTTTCCCCATCATGGACACTCAAATCTATAGATAGATGCTCAAATACTTTTTAAAAATAGTGTAATATCTGCATATAATTTACAGGCGTGTATGCTTTAATTTTATTTATATTTCCCACTTAAATTTTTTTTTCATGAC